AAAAAAGTTTCAATTTCTGGGCATCGACCTCCTTTTCAATTTCACTCATATCAAAATAAAATCTGTAGTATTTTCCGTTACTCATCTGGTTCCATTGTACTTACTTAGTGTGTTTTGTTCTTTGTAGGTTCCAAGTGGACTTATCTTGGTAAGTAGAGATTTTAAATACTTTTTTGTTTAAAAGAAAACAGAAATGGTTGTATTTAATGAGAAATACAGAAACTTCATGCTCTGTGGAGGTGATTTTGAGGGGTCAGAAGAACAGTTCTGGTATTCTAGAAAGAGAATACAAAGGCATCTCCTAGGAACGCTTCAACTTGGGTTGCGTACCACACTTTCTCCAGGCAGGAGAGCCTGCTCCGGACACTGGACTGTCAGTCATAGCGTCAAGCCTTCAGATTCCTGCAAGGATTTCTACCAAACCTCCAAGATTCGGAGGTAACTTGCCCCACCTCCAGACTGCAAGGGTCCTGGGCAGGAGAGAGCCTTTCTCCCTTGCAGGACACATATCCTATAATAAACAAAGAAGAAAGGGCTCCTTTCTGAAAGTTTGGCTCAGGTCCCAGAACTTAAGCTGTCAGTATGTCTAGAATTAACTTCTTGTTGCCATGATTGTAAGCTAGCGATGGATGAAGAGGTGTTGGTCAGTCCTTAGTGAAAGAGGGATGCTTGTCTTAAATGGAGCAAGAGGAACACGAAGTGTGCTTGTTGCCCGGGCTTTCTGTGGGACCGTCTCAAGAGCACGTTAGCCCCATCTGGCAGACCTGCCAGAGAAGCAGCTGGAAATCAGCTTAGCTGGAGAGTTGCAGTGAATTAGACATTGGTCACTGGCTGGAATGGATGTGGCAGGCCAGGCACCCGAGTCCCCTGGCAAGTGCGAGAGTGTTGATAACGTCTTGTTGGGGCACAGCCACAGAAGATGCACAAGACCGATTGTTTTGGTAGCAGAAGGGTGGAACTGACTCACTGGCACGGGAGACATTTTAAGCAAGTAGGGATGTGATCAAAGTTAAAGCCACGGGATGCAATGGCTGTGGGTGGGGACAGGTGGGAAGTTGATGACTACAGTGCAAGCACCGTCCGGAGAAAGATCTGATACCAATTTGCACAGGTCAGCCTTTGGAGGTTCACCAGCCCAAGATGCATAGAAAAGTCACTGAACTGACCAACCAGCTACCTACAGGCAAAGGTCCTCTCAGCCCTAGCACTGCATGGCTCCGTTATTTCTAACATCCCTTATGTACGTATTATGTGCACAGCCCATTGCCAAGTGGGTGGGTAATAGAAGGGTAGGCTGTGGTCCGTAGCTGGGAATTACTTAAAGCTCACAATTCAAAGCAGAACAGAATAGGTAATAATAACATCATAAACAAATGCTGCAGAGCTCTGAGTGCTCAAAGGAGGATGAGTGTGCTAGGGCTAGATGGTCAGGGAAGGCTTCCTGGAGGAGGAGGGCTTTCACCTGGGCCTTGGAAGATAAGGAGGATTCGGTGAGCAGGGAGGAGGTGCGGTTGGCCAAGGCGATAATGGTATCACATGAGCAGAAGCAAGAAAGAGTAAGGTGGTGTTCGAGGAAAGCATGTGGAAAAGGGTTTATAGGGGAGTCACTGGCTCTAAGGTCAGAGAGATAGGCTGGGTCAAACACGGGAGGTGTGGAGGGGCAGGGCAGGCCTTTCCCACTTTGTCGTGCTCCTGGAGGGGGCAGGGCAAGGAGTAAGTCTGTATTTTAGGAAGAGTTACTTGGTGGTAGGAGGTGGAGAGGGAAGGATGGGAGGGAGGTAGGAAGGTGTTCAGCCTTTGGAGAAACCCAGTTACGTGTCTTCACATCCAGTTTATAGTGGTGGCAGTGAGGGGGAAGGCAAGGCCAGGACAAGAGATCTGACAAAGTGAGAATGGCAGGTTCTGTGTGTGGGAGGTGACAGGCATGGAAAGAAGTGGCACTTGGGTTCTGGGCTTTATTCCGTATGATCCCCAGTGAGCCATTTCAGCCCTGGGACCTTACTTTCCCCATCTGGAACCTGGGTGAGGGGTTGTCTAGACCAGTGTTTCTCAGACTACGGCTTGGGGTCACGCACATCAGGATCACCTGAAATGCTTCCCCAAAATGCAGATTTCTAGGCCTTGGGCTAGGCCTGGGAAAGAGAGGGAGCCTGAAAAACCTGTATGCTTAACACACTCCCCGACTGACTGTTAGCTGCACTCTCTCAGAGAATCACTGACCAACAGTTCCCAAGATCTGTCCAGCCAGATCAGAGGAAACTTGCCCCACCTCTTCTGCTGGCCTCTCAGGTATGATAGAAACACAGATCACATCTCCACGGGGTCCTGTCTCTCTGTTACAGCCCACCTGGGCAGAATGAGATGGCCACAGGGAACAGAGACATTGTGTCAAGGTGTGGGAGGAAAATCTTTTTTTTTTTTTTTTTGGAGTCTCACTCTCACCCAGGCTGGAGTGCAGTGGCATGATCTTGGCTCACTGCAACCACTGCTTCCTGGGTCCAAGCAATTCTCCTGCCTCAGCCTCCCGAGTAGCTGGGATTACAGATGCCTGCCACTATGCCCAGCTAATTTTTGTATTTTTAGTAGAAACGAGGTTTCACCATATTGGCCAGGCTGGTCTCGAACTCCTGACCTCAAGTGATCCGCCCACCTCAGCCTCTCAAAGTGTTGGGATTACAGGCATGAGCCACTGCGCCTGGCTGGGAAGAAAATCTTAACTTCATCATGATGTGGTGTTCACTGAGGGCGGGCCTCTCAGTGCAGCCACATTGACCCATCCAGAAGCATTTCTTCCTGACCACTAGCTCTGGCCAGCCCTCTGTCCCTCTTGCCCCGCACAATTAGAGCAGCTCTTTGCTGAGGAAGCAGAGGGCAGAGTCTAATGACGCATGAACATGCATGGGGTAAGCACAAAGGCAAGTCTGGTTTTTATTAGTGACATGGGCACATGTGATGTGGAGGCAGCCCTCAGAGGGGACGTGTAGGAGAGGACAGAAGGAAGACAGCTAAGGAGGCAAACTCCTCCTGGGGTCCTGGCCAGCTCCTCCTTATGTCCTGACTGGCAGCTAGCACCTGTGCTCAGAGTTGCACAGGTAGACAGAGGGCCCAGCATAAGTGCTGGAGGGAAACAGTTTCCAAGCAGTAAGGGCCGCACTGAATGGGGCAAGTTCAACCAAAGGCTCCGTGCTGGTATTCCTTGGGTGCAGAACTCAGCTTCTCTGCACGTACACTGCTGAGTCATTCTCCAGGGGCCTCCCGCTGTCTGGCACACAAGGTATGGTAAGACTTCTAAAAGTACAAAAAAAGGGAGTTCTACCCCTACATCCTCATAGCTGAGTCACCAGGCTGACTGCATGGACGGCTCCTCCCTGGAGAGAGGACGACCATCTGACTGCCAAGATGGGGCCAGCACCACCTCTCTGCGCTCCTCCTAGGGTGCTGAAGCAGCAGTTGAAAGTCTGCTGGGCTTAGCATGGCTGAGGTGGCATCACTAGAGAGAGGCTGGGGATGATGTGACATGGACCCTCCCCGCCCGAAATCAGTCCTGCATCAATCCCGCTGAGCCTGGCAGCTTCACTTACTCTGAACTGAGGGCAGCTGCAGGTCAGGTTGTCATATGAGCTAAGGACAAACTCTAGCCGGCTAAGGTATCAGAATATGTGCCCTGTGTGGGATGAAGACGACCAGAAGGAGGCAGGAAGGGTTGTGGGCAGGTTCAGGTCCTTGGTGTGGGTGCTGCAGTCAGTTTTTGAGCATTCATCCAGCTGTTTGCTTATGGGCTACACACTTTTCTGTATTTCATATTCAATAAAAAGAGTTTAAAAGTTCCAGCTGGCTGGGACAGTCATCCTTACACTGACAGCTTTTTTAGTCCTTCCCCAAGAAAAAATCAAACCAAACCAAACCAAAACAAAACCAAAAAAAACCCCAAAAACAAAACAAACCAAAAAAAACCAAAACAAAACAAAACAAAAAACCCAGTGTGTTCAAAACACAGCAACCAGAAAGAATGACTGTATTGGAGCTAGACCCGAGAGCACATCATGCGATCTGAGAATGGGCGCGGTGTTTCATCCCTGATGATATCAGATACTGGCTTGCTGCTTCTTGGATGTAAGCTGGTTGAGAAACAGATGAAAATCCCTGTTTGCTCAAGATCTGGAAAGTCTTAAAGGCGAAGGGATGGCAGAAGAACATGGATGACAAGCCTTTCTCCTGCGGGGTGCGCCAACCCCTGTCACAGCCCCACAGGGCACCTGCGAGACCAGTCCCTCCATCCTGTTCAGGAAACCTTGGAAAGAGGGTGGCCTGGCTGGGGGTGCAGGGCGGCTGGCTGTGGCTGTGGCTGTGGCTGTGGTGGCACCTGCTTACAGGTCAGCCTGCCCAGTTCTCTGTTGTGGCGGGCCGGCCCTCGTAGCCCTCGGCTGTGGCAGGACTCGGTGTGACCCTGGCAGCGCTGTGCATTCCTTGTGCTGTGCTCCTCGGTTCCTCTCCCAGACAATAGATTGTCCGTCTTAAAGAATTTCCTTTGGAAATCAGAGTGAGATCCTCCATTGGGGCAAACCTCATTCTCATGTCCCTGAAGTCCTCCAGGCCCGCGCCTCCACCTGCCTTCTGTCCTGTATCTGGAAATATTTAGTTTCTGTAATGAACTTTCTTGGGGCTCCAGACACCCTTTCAACCTCTTCCCACACAGAACTAGAAATGGAATACATGAAAGGAGGCCAGGAAGCAAACTCTTGACTTTCTATTCTTCAGCAGTGATAAGGGCACTGTGTGACCTCACACCTGAATTGCAATATAAAAAGCAGGCTGCAGTGAGGGCTCAGGGGAGAACTCAAAACAGCAGAGAGCACCTGCAATTAATAGACCAAGGGCTCTTGTCTCTATCAAAGTAGAGAGGCTTGGCCATCTCAAATCACTCCAGCCACTTCTTGCCACGCCCAGCTGCAATCCTGAGGATGAATAGGGGTACAAAGTACTCTTAGGAGAGCCAGAAAACGCCAGACATGTTTTTCTTTTTCTTTCTTTTTTTTTTTTTTTGGAGATGGAGTCTTGCTCTGTCGCCCAGGCTGGAGTGCAACGGCACATGTTGGCTCCCTGCAACCTCTGCCTACCAGGTTCAAGTGATTCTCCTGCCTCAGCCTC